AGTTCTACAAAGTTTCACTGATATTAGTAGATGGTAAACAAACTATGAACAACTGATCTCTAAAGTGTGAGTTAATATATTAGTTAAGTGTTAGTTATTAGCTTATGTATGTTATTGGGATGTTATTCTATTGTAAATATTCCTCATTTACTAACAGTTAATAAATGAAGAATAATTGCAACTAGTATAACATCCCAATACGTATATAAACTATCAACTGATACTTAACAAGTCTTTAGTAAGTAATTTACTAACAGCTCGTTTATGATATATGACTAATTTATTAGGTATAGCTATAAATAATTAAAATGCAGCTTACAAATCATATATAATTTGTTAACAGCTTGTAAGTTACCTTTTGGCTAGATCTATAAAGCACAGTTATAAATAATTAACAAACTATTAACTTTTATTTAACAAGTCATTTATAACTCATTAACTGTTTATTAGTAATCCATTAACAAGTTATAACGCATAGTTATTCTAAAGTGTTACCCATTTTTGTAGCTCAACAATAAGACAACCAAACAAAAGGTTAAATATAAATGATAATTTCTGTTAAAGGAATTTCCTTAACCCTTCACAATCATTTTCCCTGGTGGGCCAAATCAAAGGATACAAAGGGCCATCTTTGTCCCGCAGGCCCTAGTTTGGGCAACTCTACTTTACACTCTAAAAAAATATTGCTGACTGAAATTTTTTAGTTGAATCAAATGAACTTTTCTAGTCACCTCAACTTACATCACTCAAACTGACAAACTATTAAGTTAGACTTTGTAAAACTTCAAATAATTAGTTGAAAGCTGACTAACTTATTAAAATAAGCTAAATCAACATAAAAAATGCCCTGACGTTTTGTCATTAATTTGTTTACAGTGTAAAAGCAAATAGCCAATATCTTAACCCTAAAACAGTCAGCGTATCCTAATAATAATAATAATAATAATAATAATAATAATAATAATAATAATACATGCATTTTGAGACGCTGTGAGAGATAGTGAAAGTGTAAGTCTAATTTCTGGGCATCAATATGTAAAGTCATTTCATTTGTTGTGAATGCCTACATCAGGTGACTTTGTTGATACATTCTGTGTTTAGCCAACAGGCAACACTTAAAAATAGCATGGCTGCCTTTTACGAGAAACTACTCGACTTCAAGTAAAAGTTGATCTATTTATAACATAGAGTTAACAGTTCAATACTTCAAAATCTTCTTAAATCTTAGTTTACATTTAATAAGTGAGCCATTTATTTAATCAGTACACTGAATTCATTTAGAAGTCAGGAATAAATGGATTTTTTTCATGAAATTACTGTGACCTTCTAGGGTAGACGGAACAGTCACAAGTTTATAAATCTGAGGCCTTATCAGATATAGCTGAGGTAATGTACAGTTGAAGTCATAATTATTAGCCCCGCTTTGAATTTTTTGTCTTTTTAAAATATTTCCTAAATGATGTTTACCAGAACAAGCAAATTTTTACAGTATGTCTGATAATATTTCTTCTTCTAGAGAAAGTCTTTTTTGTTTTTATTTCGGCTTGAATAAAAGCAGTTTTAAATTTTAAAAAACATTTTAAGGTCAAAGTCATTAGTCCCTAAAGCTATGTATTTTTTTCAATAGTCTACAGAACAAACCATCATTATAGAATAACTTGCCTAATTACCCTAACCTGCCTAGTTAACCTAATTAAATAGCCTGATCTTACAAGGAAATGTTGTGAGGTTTACGTTGTTTAGTGGCTAATTCGTACGAATTCATACGAGTTTAGTCGTACAAAAACACACAATTTTAAAATGGAGGCGTGGCACCTAACCCCACCCCTAACCCCAACCGTCATCGGGGGATGAGAAAATCGTACTAAATTGTACGAATTAGATCGTACAAATTCATAAGAATTAGCCACCAAAGCAAAAAGTTACGAATTGCCGTGAGATTGTGTTGAATTAACCTAGTTAAGCCTTTAAACATCACTTTAAGCTGTAAAAAAACATCTAGTCAAATACTGTGTACTGTCATCATGGCAAAGATAAAATAAATCAGTTATTAGAAATAAGTTATTAAAAGTATTATGTTTGGAAATGTGTTAAAAAAATCTCTCCGTTAACTTGGGGAAAAAATAATACAGGGGGGCTAATAATTCAGGGGGCTAATTATTCTGACTTTAACTGTATATAGCCATGATTTAGCAAAAACATTACTACAAACAATGCAAATGAATTTAATTTAGTTATATTTTAATAACTTTTTTCTATTTCATTATCTTTATAATCCTAGTTTGTCATACTACATTAGTCTTTTTACTCTCTTTCTTATTTGTGTATGTATTCTTTAAATATTCTAAATTCTTTAAATTTCTAATTGTTTTGTTTTTCTTTTCAGTATGTACACATTATAGAAACTTAATTTCATCCACCTATTTTTAGTTTTGAATATTGCATTAAAATGTTAATGGAAATGTAGAGATGTGCCTAAACTTAAAATATACTTTTTATTGATAAGAACTAAAAAAAAGGAAACTTCGATGGAAACACATTTACAGAAAAAAATGTCGGCATGTGCATTAAAAAAGTCACGTGATTTTGTTTTAACATGCGATAATAAAAAAATTTGCTTGATTGGGACGGCACGACTGGAAAATGGACCACATTTCTGAAATATTGGGCCCTATCATACACCCGGTGCTAGTTTTACCTTGGCGCAAGAGTCGTTATGATGTTTTGCGCCACGCTGTTTAAATAGCAAATGCATTTGCGCTCATATGTGCGCCCATAGGTGTTCTGGTCTAAAAAGGAAGGCGTTCTGAGGCACATTGCTGGCGCGTTGCTATTTTGAGAAACTATAATGGATTTTTCAATAGACCAAAACAAACCCAGTCTATTGTCCAAAACAGAGCGCGTTAGTTGTGCGCCTGGCTTACCCACTGCTTAATACACACAAGATGAAGAGCATTATGCAAATATCTGTACATATAAAAAAGAATTAAAATATTAAGGATATATATAGGATATAATAAGGAAATATATAGGATAGAAATATAAATGATTAAAATATTACAAAACATATTATTTTCTAGCCTACATAAATATAGAACCCCCTGCCTTCATGCCTTCTTTCGGTGGGCTTTTTCAGTTTATTCATGACAATTTGCTTTTCTATAATGTCATCATTATTATTATTTATTATATCTATATTTATATTTGTTTTATTTGTTTTATATTTGCTTAGATTTGCCCACCTGTCAGGTTTCAGACCATATAGGGCACAGCATGTGTGTTTAAATATAACTCAGTTGTTTGACCACAGTTATTATTGTTCATTTATTCGTTTGCTGGAAATTAGAACTGAATTTAGAAATAGTTTTGAAACAAATCTTTGCGCTTCACAAACAAAATTAATTATTTATAGGCTAATTGATGTCTGTGTGTACAAGGTTTCCCTATCCACGAGAGCGAAAGTGAAAGTAGATAATGAGAGGCCTTATCTCTCATTCTCACGCAGCAGATGCTCTGTTTAACTGTTTTCTTGCTAGTGAAATGCTCAGTTTTTCAATTACAAAGTCGTCATGTAAATAGCAAATGCGCTTATGGCGCGACGAAACTGGCTCTTAAAGGGAATGGGAGATGAGACTCTGATTGGTTTATTCTCAAAACACACCTTTAGCTCAGTAAGAAAAAAAGCTCAACCCTTTTAAACCATGTGACATGGCGCAAAGCGGATTTTTCCGTCCTTATATTAGCACAAGTGGATTCTGACATGCCCTGAAAGCGTTTGCACCCTGCGCCTTGCACTTTCCGCATGGACCGTCAAAATAAAGCCCATTCTTTTGGTCAGCCTAAAATCCATCATCAAAGCGGCTCAGTATTACAAATTCCATTTCTCTTTTTGCTGTTATGTGCCACTTTATTATGAAGTGACCATTTTGTTCTCTTGACCCATTGTATGAAAACTTTATTTATTGCGATCATGCTTTATTCGCAGATGTTTTATCTTTTTATTTGCAAATATAAAATAAAATAAGTCTTAAATAAGCGGGTGAACTGGTGATACATTAGACCTTCATAATCTACTAGTTAATTAGCATGTATAGCAAATCTACTTGTGATGTACATTCTGTCGGCTTTTGTTAATCTGAAAGCACGTACTTCTCCACTATATAGTAGGTAAAAAAAGAATGTCTAAGTTACAAATCAGTCCACCAATCTACAGTATACAGCTATGCAAGAATGAGTTTTACAAGTTTAAAATGTTTTTAAAACAGTGCATTCTTGTAATGAATTACAGCGATCTTTCCATCTTTATCACCACAGCCGCATGTCAGTACACTTTTATGTACACTGCTTGTTACTTTAATTTCCCAAACAGTAATTTTTAGGCAGTATCAGCATCGAATCGGATAGGAAACTAGTTGTATCGCACATCACTACTGTTCATCTGACGCAGCTGAGGTGGAGATTGACAATCTCACAGGCACGTGAGAACGGTGGGTGGGGAGAACTAGCATTATAGGCACAGGCCACAAAAACAGCTACATTGTGTTCAGAGCAGAAAATTGTAATATTCTGAAAGGTATTATAAATAATCTGATGGGTGTTTTGAGCTGAAACTTTACAGAAACATTCTGGAGACACAAAAGACTTCTCTTAAACCTTGAAAAAGGAGAAAAATGCCCTTTAATGTATGAAAGAGAACTATTACAAACATATTGTTTGCTATATGAAATGCAAAAACTTTAAAGCTCAATATCTCAAAGTCATTTAGAACGCTGATAGAACCTTATAATTCTGGCTTATACTAAGCTCTGTTTGTGAAACCGGCTCCACACGTTTAACTATATGTGATCAGGTTTGTATTTTTTTGGTCCACCGTTTTTGACATCACAAGCACTGTAGTAAAAGCTGATGATTATGTAAGCAGCGGGGGTCATGTGCAGTTACTGACAAGCCTGGCAAGGTCAACACACACACACACGTCTTTGTGTTTAACTCTCAATGACCCTGCGGGCAGCTGGAAATGCCTCTGAATTCCAGGGCTTCATGTTACAGGCTGGAGAGGTGGAGGGACAAACTGCAGTGGGACGCTTCACTTCAATAAACACCAACCAATGAACCCTGAACTGCTTCAGCATAGCGGCGCTTTATTGTTATTTTAAGATGGAGCTAACGCATTACATCTCTCATTTGTATTCATCGCAGATGTTTAAATATTAGCTGCGATATTTGCTTTAATGCTAAATTGAGGCATGAGTCATGGAAATGCTCTGATTTTGGCGATGAGAGCTCAATTCTCAGCCAAGCATCTGCACTAAAGAAATCCTAGTTTGAAGCTGCATGGGAAGCACTGGCAATTCTCTTCTTTGGGTGATATTCAGCTTGTGTACATGTTTAATACTTAAGAAATGTGAATCGCATGTTAGTAACTTTTTTAATTTAAATGTGGAGGAACAGTTAATCCCACAATGAAAATTGTCATCATTTACTGTTGTTTCTTACTGCTGTCAATATATATATATATATATATATATATATATATATATATATATATATATATATATATATATATATATATATATATACATACATACATACATATATATATATATACATACATATATATATATATATATATATATATATATATATACACACACACACACACACACACACATATATAAATATATATATATATATACATACATACATACATATATATATATATATATATATATATATATATATATATATATATATATATATATATATATACATACATACATACATACATATATATATATATATATATATATATATATATATACATATATATATATACATACATACATACATACATATATATATATATATATATATATATATATATATATATATATATAAATTATGTAGCTTAACAATAAAACTAACAAATTAAAGGTTACATTAAATTTGAAATGACAATCTCTTAACCATCCCCATCATTCTCCCTCTCTTCTCAGATGGGATGGTCGGCCAAATCAAAGGTTACCATGGGTCAACGTTGGCCCATGGGCCCAAGTTTGGGCATCTCTGTCTTGTTTTATCTAAAATTCTTAAATCAAAAAGCTATTTTTTAGCAAGTAAAAATATGGCAATGAGGTATGCAAAATAATCTTGTTTTCAAATTATTTTTCTTACCCCATTGGCGCATTATTTTGCTTGTTATTTACATTTTTTTTTCCAGAAAACAAGACAATAATATTAAGATACTTGATTATCTTAAGTTAATATTAAGACATTTGGGGGTCCGTGGCATCAAATATCTTGACAACCCCTGCTGTTAACATTGATCTCTGACCAGTGTTTAGATGTGAATTGTTAATTAAATCTGATCATCATATACTGTAATTATATCTCCTCATAAGCCTCATCTCAAATCTCTTGATTAATGGAATTATTTTCATATTCATACTTCTCTATTATTTTAATGTCTTTACTGTGTGACATCTGTCCAACACAACTTCCTGGACAATGAATAGCTCTAGAGTTGGATCATTTGACAATTAGTTACCTTTAAGAAGATCATCTAACAACCCCACATTCACAACTACAGGTCTAACAGCTGTCTAGCTCTTTTCTAGTGAGTATTCAAACCCACCAACATTGTGTTCTTGTGATTAAGTGTTAAAATTTGTTTTGTATTTTTTTCTGACAGAATTCATGCCACAAAACAAACATTTGGTGCAGCTCATTGCGATTATTCTTGCACTATTAAATTCTGTTCCACCTTTGATCATTATGAGTAGTTTTACAGAAAACACTAATGCTTTAAATAAATAAAAAAAACTTTATAATACTTTTTTCGTTAATTTATAGAATTTAGTCATGCAGCAATTGTTGAGAACGCAAAAATTGTAAATACTTTCAATTGAACGAATAATAATAATAAATAATAAAAAATCTGTAATAGTTGTAAAAAAAAGTCCAGATATTCTGTGTTTAAACATTCGTTTTATTTCACATATATTATGTTTTCTATTCTTCTAAATATTCAGTCATTTCTAACATGCAAACAAAATGGTTTGTGATTTTCTATCCTTACAGCAGTGCGGAAGATGTTTGTGTGCAGGACAAACACTACACATTAACGTACCACAAAGGGGTTAATTATGTATTATACTAGACATATATTGAATAACTCAACAACATGTGACCATGTACCTCAGTACAGCTATGTGGAGGACAAACTCACAGTTTCTAGTGGTCTAGCAGAAGCTGGTGATGAGGACGTCCCTTATAAATGCTGGAAAGTGTAGTACTTTACGCTGTCTCAGTGCTAACGTTTCCTCAGGCCTGTTTAAGTAAAGAACACACAAACAACTGCACGGGAACACTTGTGGAAGACGAGGGGTAGAAATTTTTTGTGTTCACAGATCATGAAGCACCTCGAGCACTGCGGCGAGAGACCAGGCCTGAGTTTCACAGCTGAAGGAGCAGTACTGCCCGTTCTCATTAGTGAGCTCCGGAAGACCCTTCCAGGATGATCTGGGAAACAAAACACACACGTCAGATCCAAACCACATCTTTCTGATGGTCATATTATGGGATTTAAGAGATTCTCTCAGAGATCCTGGGGTGTATGGTCTATCATAACATGACATAACATTGACATTTTTCCACTAAAGTGTATTTGTGCAGCTGAAAATGTCAGCCCTCTTCCAAAAACGCTCAGCTGTGAGCACTTCAACTCTCAGGGTATTTAAAAAATGAAGAGAGCTCAGATTTTGTATAAAATGTACACCTCGCTGAAGGACTATAGCTGCGTCCCAAATGGCACACTATACACTTTGCTCTTCTCCACTATGTACAAACTACTAAATAATACTTGTCACGAGTATAACTGCATTCACCATAGGGGGCAGTATAATCACTCTTGAAGAAGATTTTTGCTTTCACAATCCAAAACGTCAGTGCCCGAAAGCTCCGCCGCTTCCGCTAGGTGAGCAAAGCAGCATCCATTAAGTGTGTTAAGCGTCCAACATTCCACACTTTGTTTAATTGGTTGAATAATTGCATCATCCGGGTATTTAAAGTGTACTTATTATTCTTAGAGTTTTCAGAGTGAAAGCATTAATTACACTATTTATACTACAAAATGGTGCATAATAGTGCATAACGATGTAATTTGGGACGCACATTATAGAATACACTAGACATGTCACTCGTTTAGTTTTGAACAGGGAAAAGTGTAACGGTCAAAATGGCAAGTCCTGCCTTGGTACAGGAGCCAATCAAATATAGTTATAGACTGATGAATCACAGAGGGGAAGGGCTCGAACGAGACATAGTTTCAGATAAGAACACATATAATGCACCTCCCATCCAATAAACACAAAAAGCTTTGTGTTTTATGTTCAGTAAGAAAAATAATTTGATTATAAAAACTGGTCAAACTGTCATGTTGGATGCCGATGCAGCATGACAGAATCAAAGGTGGAACATCATCATTCCTTTCTCTTTACTACTAGTTATAGCACCACACAAACTTGACCATCTCATGTCTAATGTAACATTTCTGAAGTTGAATAAATTCAAAGATGTCAGTATAAAAACTTCTAAACCACTTGTATGTGTCAAGTGGTCAATTGTGTATACCATTCTGCACCCATACTCATTTCAAATGTTTAGCATAGCTTCTAATTTTACTAATAGTTTGGTTTAAGTACCAATTCCCACTATTGGCTACTTGCTTATTACCAGCTTATTATTAAGATATTAGATGGCTGTTTATTAGTGCATACAAAGTATGACCTTATTCTACATCCCTCCTACATCACTAATTATTATTAAGAAGCAAATTAGTAGTTTATTGAGCTACAAGACAAAGTTATTTGTTTATCAATTGCAATAATTGTACCTTAAAAATGTGATCCCGATTTCTTTAAGCTGCCCTGAATTTGCCCATAAATGTACTTAAATGGAAAACTTCACCTTTAAATTGGTAATGACACCAATTTATTCACCATGAAATGTGTTAAAAATAGGTGTTCATAATAAATCAATTATTATACCAAGAATTAAGAATGACATCAGCAACTCAAGTCTTTCTAATCAGTAATTAAGTCTTTCTCCATCATGTACGAGATAACTTGTTAATTAAGAGAGAACACTTCTGCGCCACGGACAAGTTTTCATCTAAAGCCTGGTTTATACTTCTGCGTCAAGTGACTGTCGTAACCCACGGCGCATGCAACGCGCGTAGCTGTGCATTTATAGTTCTGCGCGCTGTCTCTGTTGGTCTGCATTAACACTGTCGAAACGCTAGTAGGCAGTGAGGTTTTAATGTTCCTCTGTGTCGAGTTTCTTTGCTGCTGTTTTGTTTTCCTGAACACTTCCGGTACAAGTGGCTCAAACTCGCTCATTTTGAGGCAGGAACCGGCGGACGTGCAACAACTTTAACTATGAGGTAAACACAAAACAAAACTTTCCATCCGGAGATCCTTCACGGGACTCCACACTTGTAAACAATCGCTCCATCAGGCTCGCACCATTCACGCGGCTCTCGGTCCTACCCAGACTCGTCAGCGCTACCAAGCCGACTAATCACAGAGCTTGCGCTACGCGTCGTTGCGACGTGTAGTTAAATTTTTTGAGAGGTGCACGTCAGCAACGCCGACGGCCACAGCGAAGGGCTATGCGTCAGTGCCGTAGCTTACGCCGGCGTTTGACGCAGAAGTATAAATCAGCCTTTAGGTATATTACAGTAGGGGAATGCATGTCCTGAGTGAGGTACATGTCTTCTACTTCTCCAGGGAATGAAAAAATGACAATCAGAGAAAGTGAAGGTAAGATCTAGGGTAAAAATTAACCTTCCTTTGGCCTAAATTCCTTCAATATCACAGCTTGCTGCACAAAAACGATCAGCCCTGTCAATGTGTGCATGTGCACACACAAGCATATGCGCAGATACATTTGTGTATGTGTGTGTGTGTGTGTGTGTGTGCATGTATTGTACATATCTGTGTGTGTGTGTGTGTGTGTGTGTATTTTATACTATAACTTGAAAATGCACTACTTTTAGAAAATGTTGCATTTCAAGTTGGGAAGAACACATAAAATAGAAAAAAAATAGAATTTAATTTTTAGTTTAAAAGCA